AAAACCTAATAAAATTTTGCCCATGGCCCAGTCCAAAAGCATTTGGGCATGTTCAGGGTGTTCAAGCAAGGCTAAGCAATGTATGTTACCTTGCTTATTTGGCCTTACCCAAACAATATATATTTATAATATTTTTATTTTTTTAATGTTTTAAAGGTTAAGGTATACTAGAATTTTTAATTTCTCAAATTTGTTTCAATTATCAATTTGATCATTTAAGTTTATTTTTTATTAATTTACTCCCTTAAGTTTGTCCCAATTATCGATTTGGGTTGACATAGATAACTAAATATTGGTGTCAATCATGTACATTTATGAAAAATATGAAATTATTTAGGTGGAAAAAATAAAATTAGAAATTTTAAAAAATAAAGAACAAATTACAGTGTAAAGAACTAGATTAATAAAAATTAAATTGATTTGAGAGCTAATTTATTTTCATTTACCTATATATACATACCAATTCATCAAAATACTTTACATTAATTTTTAAACTTAAAGAACTGATATTATAATTTAAGAAAGTGTAAGAGACTAAATCAATAAAAATTTAACTTAAAGAACTAAATCGCTGAAACAAATTTGAGGGATTAAGGTTCCATTATCACAAAACTTAATGTTAAACTATGTGCTTAGTCAGTGAGACAAAGGAGGATTTCTAAAAAATTCAAATACTCCTTGACTCCTCTCATTGAAATTGGCGTTTTGTTAAAAAAAAATACATATATAAATCACCCTTACTGAGGTTCATATTGATGTTCTTGTTATGTTTAAGTCTTCATAATGTCTCATTCATTTCTCAAGTAGATTTCTTTTTTTCTTTTTTTCCCTTATGACATATTAATTTTAAAATTTTTGAATATTTTAGCCATGTGCATTACATTAATCTAATATAAAAATAAAAATAAAAATTTATCTTTTAAAATAATAAAATCTTGCATCATTGATAACAAAAAACGTGTTAAAAAAAATATAAAATATATAAATAGGAAAGTAAGCATCTAAAAGCATGTGTTAATTATATATAAATATAATATAATATAATATATATTATTAGGAAATAGGAAAGTTTCCAATTTTAGTTGAGGGTATATAATTGTAATAGATACATGTTTTGTTTTTGTGGTTTGCGTTTGACCTTTGAATATTTAGTGCTACTACTCCATTTACAAATTCAAGCCAACTAGGTATAAGGTATGTGTATGCGGTTTGCCTTTTTGTGATTTACCTTTTTGATGTTTGTCTTATTTCATGTTGCTTTGTTCGCGTGCTGTTCCCTTTTTTATAATTTTTTTCTCCTTCTTGTTGAATCAGAGAAGTTGGCTTGGCTTCAATCTCATGACCTCAGGCCCTCCAATTAAGTAAATATAAGGACAGAGTTGAGGTGAGCCACTCCAATTTTTAATGTACTTTGCTTTTTCAATGTTTATGATTTTATTGTGAAATTTGTATTATAATTTGAAATTCCTTATATATATTTAATATGTTGTGCAATTTGTGTTATGATCTCATGTCATGGTCATATATAAATCTTGATAGCCACAAATCATATTATTCTAAAATTGTATTACACTAAAGCTCAATACACTCGTATTGCGTTACAATATAAGGAAAAGTTCAAGTAAAATAGCCCCAAGGTTCCATTAAAGGAAGAACAGAAGTAGAAACATAAAAGAAATATAGATAGAGAAGGATAGAATCAGAAAGAAGAAGAAGATCCTCTAGGAACAAAGGCTAGACAAAAATTTAGGGAAGGAGAGGTTTCACCAAAAATCTTCACATTTTCAATTATGCCTCTCGTTAAAATATATATAAGCTCTATTTTTTTCACCTTCAAAAGGGCTTGACCTAATTCTTGACCTACTCATTATATCTCCAGCCCATATTTCTACCGGGCCCATTCCACTCCAGATTTGTATCATGACATTTCCTTCCCCCTTGAATTTGACCTTGTCCTCAAGGTCAATTGCTTGAATGGGGGTTGCATAACAATTAACAAGCATGAACCCATTAAAAGACACCAATACAGTAGCTACAAATAGTTTGTTAGTGCAGTAGCCAATGGTAATAGATACAAAACTGATAAGCATGTCACCATGAGCAAGGAAGTTCCAAGACGCCTGAAGGGTAAAGGGGTTGTTGAAGCATTAGATCCCAAGCCTATTGTAAACCATGCTCTAGAATTGCCAATCAAAAGGGCTGAACTAAATGCCACCATGAGCCAAATAACTAAATAGCAAACAAAAGAAGGAATCATATGAACAAGTGCAATAATTTCACCTCCACCCCTCGACTTCCCACCTCTAGGAAATGCACCAACAATTGCATTACCCAAAGTACAGTAGACTTTGCCAAGAGCAAAAAAGAAAATAAATTCCAACACTTTTTGAATGTCACTTAGGTATCGCTTAACATGATTAGTTCTCACTATCATAATTGAAATGGTCCCATCATATTCTCCAAAACATTGCATCAAAGCTTTTGAATGAACAGTAAGCATTGGCTATTGATGGAGAATTAAAAAATTGGGTTGTATGCCTATTTGAGGTGACTTTTGTGAGTGATACTCCAATGGAACGCCAGGATTATAAACCCACCTAACCAAAACAAAAATATTTCTAGCAAAACAATTGTGACCCTTTCGAATCATTCTTTTGATGTCTAAAAATTCTAGCAACTTTCTCTTAAAATCCTCCATTTTTTGGTGGGTAACTAGAGATAAAGCAAAACAAGCATAGTTTTTAAATGTTACTTTATAATTTTGAAATAATCGAGAGGCATAAAAGACACAAAACTGAGCAACCAGTAGAGAGAAAGTTTCAAAATATTATCTACACCCCCAAGTGCTCTCATTACACCCCTTGAGTAGCAACTTTGGATGATATAGAATTTGAGCAAAACACTACAAAAAAATAGCTAATTAGCGATGAAAAACTCCGTCGCTAATCAGTGAAAGTTCTATCGCTAATCCCTTTAACAATAAAATACTTTTGTCGGTAAAAACACTGTCACTATCTATCGCTAATTAGTGACAGAATTGAATTCCATCGCTAATTTTTGACGGAATAGCGATAGAAATTTTCCATCACTAAATAAGGATAAAATTATTCTGACTTTGTGATGGAATGCATTCCATTGCTAATTTTCCAACGGGCTTATTCCGTCATAAATTTATTAGGTGGACCAAAATATCATTGCCACGTCACCCAGTGGACTAATGTCACCTCACCACCACCTAGTCACCTAGTAGACCGATGCCACCTTATTGCCATGTCACCACCACATCCTAGTCACCCACTGGATCAATGCTATCTCACCACCACGTCACTATCATGTCATTTGTCACTACCATGTCAAATATTATTACCTTCAATTGTGTATTGACTAGGTTCGAACTTGCAACCTCATATTCTTATGTGCCTTTGCGTCCACCTTATTGACAGTTGAGTTGAAAAGAATCTTTAGTCTTAATTGATAAATTAAATATATAATACTTAACCACACACACATATTAATAAATACATTATTTAAATTATTATTAAATATAGTATTTAAATTTACTTATTTTTAAACATTATATTTATTTATTAATATGAAAAAATTAATTTATATATAATAACTATTTCTATTGTATTTATTTAAAAAAAAATTATTTTTGATAATAAATTTAATATTAAATTGAAAAATATTTTATTATCATTATATATTATATTATAATTTGTATCTATATAATATATAATATGTTAAATTTTTATTTATAATTATTTTATTTTTAATAAGAATAATTAAGTATACAATTTAAATTATTAATAATATACAAATAATTTAAAATAATGAATTATTTTAAATTATAATTTTTAAATTATTTATTTATAGCATAATAATAATTATTAAATAAATTATATATAAATATATATTATAAATAATAAAATTAAATTAAAAATAATTTGTGATGGAATTAGTGACGGAATTATAACAGAAAACTTTGTGATGGAATTTTCCGTCACAAATTTCATCACTAAATCAGAATAAAATATTCTAACCATTAGCAACAAAAATTTTTATCAGTAAATTCTATTGGTAAATTATTTCCGATGGATTAGCAATGGAATAATGATAAAATTTTAGTGACAGAACATTCCGTTACTAAATTAGCGACGAAATTAGTGATGGATTAGCAATAAAAATTTATTCTATCACTAATCCGCTGTTTTTTTGTAGTGAAATTTGTTGCTTCTAAAAATAAGGTTGGCCAGGGAGGTTTAACATCAAATTTCAAATATCCATTTCCTTTGATACTCTCATCAATCAAAATAGTGATGCATCCATGAATAGCAAAAATAGCATAAATAGGGTGTTTAACATGTTTCCTTTGGTCAAGAATTTCAAGTTGAGGCATACCTAATGTAGAGGCATAACATTCTCTAAATATCATAGGGACAACAAAATATGAGTGCCAAACTCTCATGATAGCTTCAAAGGCACCAATGCAAGTAACATTTGACATCAAATGTAAAGGATGAAGACATATAATAGAACTTTGAAAACAACAGCAGAGAAAATTGCAAGTTTGTATCCCAAAAGCAGAAATAGAAGTAAAGCAACATTCATAAGGAGATTCCTCAAGAGTCAAATCATTTTGCATTTCAAGAGACATTATGACTGCCATGATAATAACATATAGAGTGGAAAACTAATGTATTGACACTTCATACATTTAGTCTTTTCAATTCCAACGTCCAAACTTGAATCCACTAGGAAAATAATAATTGCACATGGTAGTAGCACCCCAAGTAGGAATAGACAAGGCAAGCCGTATAGAACTATCTCTACATGATTGCTTCCCCTCATTAGATGTGAAGGGTACCCAATAAATGACAAGAGGGAAACTAAGATGCAATTTCAGTGGTAGTAGTGAAAATATTGAGGAAGCCCCGCCACTAGTAATATCAAGATCAAACTCCCAAATAGTAGATGAAAGCAAAGATGTGAAACAAATATTAAGAAGTGAAATAACAACATCAAAGATAGTAAAATCAGGTACAACCCATTGATTACACACAACAACCATTGACAAGGGATTGAAGAGATTATGACAATATGAATTTGGAACAGGGTGGATGCAAGGAGCTAGCACCAAAACCCCAGTATACCTGAAGAGAAAGTCATTAGGATAGTTGAAGGCTGATTGAATGATTCCAAATTAGGCTTGGAGTACTATAACACAATCATGAAATTGTTCCACCTTTCAAAAAAGGCAACGCCTATTTTTGAGAGGCCAAACCTGAAGCACGCCATTTTTGTTATGAAACTTAATGATCTTCGATGCAATCTGGGCAATACCCTCATTATTGTAATCTTCTTTGCTCTTCCAATCATCTCCATCGACCATTTCATCAAAGTTGGAAGGAACGGATGCCCTTGCAAAAACATTCGAAAGTAGCACATCCAATTGTAGAGTTGAAGAAGGAATGGAGTCTAATTGTGGAATGTCGATAGCTGGTTGTTGATAGTATTGACCATCTCTTGCTATTAATCGATCAAGAGTATAGAGAACCTTAAGAATAGAGGACTCTAATTTTTTTAGTTATGCATTTTGCTGTACCATCCATGGAGAAAAACTTTCTAAAGAAGCTCCGATTTCATCCAATCGAACTTCCTCCTCAGGTGTAGAGTCTGCCATTATAGTACTCTCAATAAAAGCACCATTTTAACGAGCATAAGCCCAAAGGGAGAGCCCATCTCAAAAGACTAACCTGTTAGGTGGGAGATCTCCTCACACTTATAAACTCCACAATACTTGTAAGGCTCCTTGATATGGGACTAGTGACAATGCCTCCCCATTAAGAGCTGACGTCCCCAGCGACTTCACTCCCCTATACTTCACTCGGCCTTTTTCCAATCAAAATCTTCTGTCAATAGCCTTTTTCATGACACCAATCTCTCAATGAAAGCACCATTTGTCATGGTCATATATAAAACTTGATAGCCATAAATCATATTATACTAAAATTGTATTACACTAAAGCTTAATGCACTCGTATAGCATTACAATAGAAGGAAAAGCTCAAGTAAAATAGCCATAAGGTTCCATTAAAGGAAGAACAGAAGTAGAAACATAAAGGAAATATAGATAGAGAAGGATAGAATCATCAAAAAGAAGAAGAACATCCTCCAGGAATGAAAGCCAGACAAAAATTCAAGGAAGGAGAGGTTTCACTAAAATTCTTCACATCTTCAATTATGTCTCTTCTCAAAATATATATAACCTCCATTTCTCTCACCTTCAAAAAAGCTTGACCTAATTCCTAACCTACTCATTATATCTCCAGCCTATATTTCTACTAGGCCCATTCCACTCCAGATTTGTATCATGACATCTTATAATTTTTTTTATTCATTTTGACATTTTACATAATATAATTTACAACTTATATTTTTTTAAGATTGAAAGATGTCTAAGAAAAAAAACTATGGATCCATTTTTCAAGGGAAAAGAGATAAATGATGAAAGAACACCATCTATTTCTAGTGTTAAAAATGTTATTGAACAACCAACAATGTCAATTATGGAGCAACCTATCCAACTACCTCCTTCCAAATCGACGACCAAAACTTAAAAAATGAAGTTACATATTTATTTTGATTTTATATTTTAATATTAATAAACATGAATATAGCTAGCTAGATGTTGAAATATGTATGTTATGTTGGATTTTTCTTTTCTTCAATTATAGTATATGTCTTGAGATCTTGGCCCCCTACTTAAAAATCCTAGCTCTGCCCCTGAGCATAGGAATTTCGCACATTCAGAGGGAGTAACTCATTTTCATTGTCACCATCATCCTCTAATGCTTTGCTTTTTTGGCCACTAATAATTTCAAGAACTACAATACCATAGCTATAGACATCAGCCTTCTCTGATAATTGATCATGGATTATATACTTTGGTGCTGTGTATTCCCTAACAAATGCATAAACAATTGACCATGGATTATATACTCTAGTGCTGTGTCTTCCCTAACAAATGCATAAAAATTATATGATACAATTAACTATATTGATAGCTAGCTCAAATAAAAGGAAACAATTATTATCCAACTAAATATGAAATAGAGATGTGAAAACTGAAGTATTAGATCAGATCATGTTTGACAGAGCTATGAATTCTTTCTTCAAGCATTGATGGTGTATAGAGACAATCGAAAAGGTTAGAACTTTTTTGCAAGTGTGATAGGAGTGTTCTTATTTATGCATAGATTCATATTCTAATGATATGTTAGATAATTCATGTACCATAACACAAGTTAAGAAAAATCAAAGAAACTTTAGTATTTAATTTGAACTTACAATATTCCTGTAACTTTTATACTAAAATGAAATTTGTCTTTAGGTGAAAGTCTCGCCAATCCAAAATCTGTCCAGACTGTTGTTTTTCATGTATTCATATACAAGGATTCTGACATGGCCTTTACAATACAATCCTAAAAGTTGAACGAGATTCGGATGGTGAACATAGCTTAAAAGCATCACTTCACTGAAAACATCTTCCTCTGTCTTTCTAGAATTGTCATGCCCCAAAATAAAAGATAATTGACACAAAATGTAAACCATATAACACATCTTTATAAGCCTCTAATCTTATATTGAAATTTTAACATTTTTGATATTGATCATTATAATAAAGTTTCATAAATTTTTTTAAAATTTCAATAAAACCTTATTTATAAATAGGATCTTTCGAAACTCTACAACAAAAAAAATATTCACAGAATCTCATGTTAATCAGGAACTTAGCTCCTTCTAGCCAATAGACAACATATATATTAAAATAGTAATTCTAGATATAGCCTATGTCGAGCACCTAACTAGACTTCTCCAAAAATAAAATACATAAGCATCTATAATTTCATCAAAAAGGAAATTTCGATCAGTTCTTCCCCCAGCACATCTACAAGTTCTCATGGGTCAACAGAAGGATCGGCATCAACTAGGGTATCTAAGATCAAAAATAATTTTTCAATGAATAACGTCCCAACCATAACATTTTGTAAAATCAAAATGAATAAAATACAATAATTATATAAATTAAATGAGAAAACAATTCTATCTAAACAAATTTGTAAACTTGAAATAAAAATTTTATATAACTTCAATAATAAGAACATTGAAATCTATAATAACAAAGTAGCTTTAACATTTGATCTTGACAAAGTAAAATGATTAAATAATAAATAAGAATAACAATAATTACTAATTGAAAACCATTAAATATGAAATCACCAATTGATTAAAAATTCATATTTCTAAAAATTTATTAGAATAATTCACAAATGTGGATACACAGTCCACAAGAGTAAATAACTAAATACAGCTTATGCCACGAATACAAATGTGGACACACAGTCCACGAGAATAAGTAACTAAATGAAGCCTGAGCTAAGGTAATGCTAACCAAACGTGACTTGAAGCCACAAAAACAAGCGCAAGTATTAAACCTACGAATAACAAATGTGAAAACAGAGTTTACAAAATTCAAACTAGCTAGTCATTCACCATGGCACGCCATGGGCAAACGGAACTGCCATTAGCAACCAGTGTTCTATATAAAATCCCTTCCAAATCCATTTTCAAATATGCAAAAATATCACCATTATTAAAATATCATTTCTATTTTTGAAATCAAACTCGCATGAATAGTTCTTAGGCATCAAAACTTGTCAGAATAAAATTTCATATCCAATGCTCAAACTTGCATTTATTGAATAATCAAAAATTACTAATGCTGGTGAAAATGATTTTTATCAATCTTGAAAGTATATATCATAAGAGTGTACGGTATAATGTAAATATTCTCCACCATTGTTTAATAACTTAAAAATAAAAAAATTTAATTAACAAAGTATCAACTACTCAACTTACTTGTCATTAGAATAATCTATATAAAAATATAAAATTTCAATAAGAAAAATAATTGATAATTTAATTAGGACGTTATCTACTTACCTGAAGTGTTCCCGAATATTAAAATTAACTTCTTAGATCCTTCCTTCCTCTAAATTCCCTATCTAATATAAAAAGAAAATTCAATGGCATATTCAAGTTTGATAAACTTTTTCCAACTTTTGTCAAGTGCAAGCAACAAAACTTAATCAATATTATATATACATATACCATAATTAATCACTCCAAATTCTAAATTCTCCGATCACCCTTTCTATCAAGCAACTCAAAGGCATTTTCAAATCAAATCTTTGAACATTATCATTTATAATTATCATCCATACAATTTCATAAAATGCAACTGTCTCAGCACAGTTTCATACTCAAAATTCTTCATACTCAAGTGAAATTCATGAACAATTAATACCCAGACTAAATATGTCCCCGCAAAAGTTAATGAAATTTCAAAAAAATTATATCCGAACACAACTCGTTCTAATATGCGTATTAGCAAACATCTTGCAAGTACTTTTTTTTATCCCAATTCTCTGCCAATCTCCTCATAATAAGCAATATAGTTTTATTAAACTTCCATCTATCCTTACCGCAACATGGTTGATCCAAATGATTCAAAGTTTTCCAAAGCATCCTCAATTACATCACAACAAAGTTTTCTCATATTACTTAAGCCAATGCTAAATTATTTAATGGAGATAAGATCATTTCTTAGACCTTTCAACTTAAATCAAGTTCCCCTTCAAACTCAATATATACGACAGTAAAGGGGAGGAAACATAAAATTCACAACCTTAATTATCTCAGCACACGCACGCACAAAACAATAAGAAGAAGAAAAGTTTAAGCTACTCACCTAAATTAATAACAACAGAGAAGGGAAGGAGAAGAAAGAGACCGACGGAACAGGGGAGAAGACAGCAATAGACCAGCTTCCAAACTCATGAATCGGACCTCCAAAAATACCAGACTAGCTTTTTGTGTGCTCACCGCCTATGAACGGAAAGAATGGAGAAGAAGGAAGAAGGTCTGACCACACCGAAATCAAACGCATATGTGAGGCTTGAAACGAATGATGGCAGAGAAAGAAAAAGGAGAAACTCATGACAGCAGCGGCGGACGGCGTTCTCTAACACACCCACGCCGACGACGTTACAGACTAAAGAAGAATGATGAAAACGCCGGTGAGCACGCTGGAATCGAAGGAGAGAAGAAGCTGAAGGTTCTGGATCTTACTTCTCTTTCCTCTGCTCTCACTCCCGAATGGAACGAGAAAGGCAATATAAAAATATGACTGGAATGGTAAAATGGTAATTTAAAAGGCTGAATAAAGAAAATTAAAAAAAAAATATAACTCTATTGTCCCACTAAGCTCCGAACTTAAGATCGGTTAGTGAATTGATAGTATGATTTTCCACTAGAACAATCCTTTTTTGCATATTTACTTCAAAAATTAATTAAAATACAATTAAAATATTTAATCATAATTTTTTTAACTAATTTAAACTTCAGGGTTATTAGAGGAATGTTGTGAAGTTAACTTCTTGACTGCAACTACTTTCCCATCTCTTAGAGTGCCCTATTCATGTTGATTTAGAACACCAATCAGAAATTATTGTTAGAAGTTTTGCCTCTACCTCGTTGCAAATCTAGCTTCAATTTTTACATTACATTAATAAAATTTAATTTATTTTTTTATTTTTTATATATTTTCAGTTAATTTTATGGGAGTATTAATTCAAGAGCAGTCCTATTCTCAAAAAAAAAAATGACTCACATTGATAAGTAAATTTTAAGCTAATATTAATATAAAAATTTCTCTTGAATCATCAATAAAATTTAATTTATTTTTTTATTTTTCATATATTTTTAATATACTTTTACGGAAGTATTGATTTAAAAGTAATTTTATTTTTAAATTTTCCTAATGGTTAACATTAATTCCATTCAATCATCTTTCTTCATTCACTATACTTTTCATACTTTTTTAATTTTTTTGATTTATAAAATTTATTTTATTTTTTCATTTTTTATATATTTTTAGTCTACTCCTATGGAAGTATACATGCGGCATAATAATTAAAAAAAGAAGAGGATACTGCATATACGTAGCATAAGAAAACGACGAAGGAAGAGTGAGAATTTCATCATAAAATAAGGAAGAGGATGCCGCATATACGTGGCGTAATAATTAATATATATATATATATATATAGGATTGAATTTTGGTTCTCTAGTTCTCCCCCTCCGAGATTAATAGGGGTCATGGCCTTTTAAATTTTAAATTTTTTTTTAATCTCATGTAATTTAAATTTTAAATTTTTTTTTAATCTCATGTAACTTTTACATGATTTCAGCTCCTAAAATTTAAGAAAATTTTGTAATATATATGTTTTTTTATTTGGGCCGTTTATTGTTAAATCATCGCTCTACCCTTGGGCAAGAGGGAGCCCGTGAGGAGAGGATTCGGAGAGATCTTGTGTCCTTGTAATACCTCATCTTAAACAAATACTTAAAAGGTTAAAGCAATATTACAATTACAAGAGTGATTAAAGAGTGAAGCATTAGGGGTACTCAGCCCACAAATGGAATTGCTTCTTCCCATTTCCTCAGTTTTCAAATTGTTGAAGGATGAAACTGCAATTTGTTAAAAGGGATGACAATGCAATTTATGAAAGTTTTGTGAGAAGTGCATGTAGCAGAACCCTAATCGGTGGAAGGCTTGGAAATTTCAAAACAATGACCCACCACCAGTGAGAAAAGCACTCCATCATTGAATTCGTCAGCCCATATAGATAAACATCAAGGGGTCACAGGCTTCTCTGAATATTTTGTAACCTCTTGCTCTCATTGACCTTTAGAAAGAAATTAAAAAAAACAAAAACACAGAACCAACAGAGAAAAATTTGGGGAGAATTTCATTTCAGTACCTATATAAAGACTTAATTTTAAATGGGTTCGACAAATTTTTAAAATTTTAATTCAGCTTAGGAAAGAAAAGTTAGAAGAACTTTCCCAATGAAAAAATCAAAATACCTTTGACTTGTTATACAGAATTATTAATTATTAATTTTTTTACTACACTTATTAATTATCAATATCACTTATAAATTACATCCGTTTGTTAGACAATCAATAACATTAGTTGTTTATTTATAACTTTACTTATTAATTTGCTAATATCAATTGTAAATTATAAGACTTGTCAGTAATTTATAATTAATATTTGTAAATTACTAGATATATTAGTAATTTATAACTGATGTTAGTAAATTAACAAATAAAATTTATAATTTAATAACTGATATTAAATCTTATATAATTATTGATATGTCAACTTATGTAATTTACAATTCATATTCATAAATTAATAATTAAAATAAAAAAATTAATAATTATTAATTTTATATAATAAATAAAGAATATTTTAATCTTTTACTTCATTGATAAAAATTTTTTAATTTTTTTTAGATTAAATTAAAATTTTATAATTTTTTTGAATTCATCTAAAATTAAGTCTGTGGGAGTATTAAACTGAAATTCACCCAAAAGTTTAAGCTTTGAATTAACTCGAGAAGAATCCGGATACATGATAAAGAATAAAGTCGGCGGCTGCTGTTGAAGCTGAAAGGAGTAGAAAAAGCTTATTCATATCTTGATTAAAAGATAAAAAGAAAAAGCTTCTTGTCTAGCACTGGAACATGCCGGCTAGACTGAGTCTGAAGGAAGAAAAAGGTTGTAATTCTACCGGCGCCGGCCAACGGCGAAGAAGTTGCGAAAGATGAGTTGAAGCCGGCTTTGGAAATGAATGACGTCAGTAAACTGCTGAAGGAGGAGCTTAATCATCCTTCCGTGTTCTGTGATAAAGAGGAGAGACAGCATCCACGTAAACCGAATCTCAAGTAACGGAGAGAGAAAACTCAAAAAGAAAGGAGAGAGATGGGGAAAAAAAAAAAAGGAAAACTGCTTTTAGAATTTAGATGTAGGGATGAAAAGAAAAAAGAAAAAGCAAATGGAAAAATGATAAAGAGGAGAGACAG